TTTTTTTTTTTTTTTTTAAACCTGAATAGTCTCAAGTTTATTTCATCATATAGAGAAGAGACAAATCATTTACACATGTTTTGAAATTTTTACTGCTGAATTTTGAGAATATTTACTACCAAGCTGCGAATTTTTATAGAAAATTTGATGTTACGAAAACGTGAAAGTATACACGAAATACACAAAATACTTGCAATATTCCCGAACGAACAAAACAAATTACTACCCAAGTTTCATTGTTTGAATTCAATTTGCAAGAGTTTGCACAAAAATTCGCAGTTTATTTACGACAATCCTCTCCCCGATCCGATAAAGAAAAATTATAAAGCGAGTAAATTTGATTTGGCGGCTAATGGATTCTTCCGTATGACTCGGCTTTCTAAGGTCTGGATATTCGGTGACCTATGGTGCTCCATCTGGCTGGCGGTGGACGTATGGATGTGCACGGCGTCGATATTGAATTTGTGTGCCATCAGCCTGGATAGATACTTAGCGGTGACTAGGCCAGTCAGTTATCCTCAGGCAAGTACCATTTACCGATTATTCGATTTCGTGACACAGGTGTGCGGCCACGGGAACGCTCGATGAAGCCATTTGTCTCCTCCGGGTTCCTCTCTTCTCTTCTGCTCCTCTGTTTCCATTCACGACCAGCTCCTCTATCCGACGTTAGCCCTTCCAAGGGCTTAATTGGTTGATCGTTTGTTCAACTCGCAACATTTGACTTTCCCGGCTGCTTTGTAATAGCTGCTGCCATCCTATCTCGTGAAGTTTGAATTGAGAAATCGAATTTTTGCTTTACGTGCTTCGGAAGGATGTAGTCAAGGTATTCTTGAATATTATAAATTTTTTGTTGCAACAAAATATATATGAAAAATATGTACATATAATATAAAGATTATTAATTTGTTAAAAATATTATTAGTGATTTTGAGTATGTAATTTTTAGTAATAATGAATGAATGAAATTAGTGTATAATAAAAAATATTATTAATACATTATTATGGAAATATAATATTATTATTTATATAAATATCCAAAGTAGAGTAATCGTTATTTTTTGCACTTTTATGGACATTATTGATTCGCAAACATCTCGAACGAAATAATCTCTAGGGATTCCTGAATATTTCTAAAGATTCTTGTAGGTTTCCAAAGATTTCTAAAGGCATCGAAACATTTCTAAGGATTCTTAGCGATTTTCAATAATTTTTTATAAATCTTCGTTTGAAGTTTCGAAATATTTTTCAAGCCATTATATATATCCAATAATCCTAAATAAATGCTTGCATGGTAAAAACTAAAAATCTATTAAAAATTTAAAAATACGATATTCAAAAAGTCGTTGCAATTTATATGACCATTATTTGATAATTAGATTTTTATTTCACTAAATAAACATCTAATTATCATTGGTACATTATTTTATTCTTTATTTTCGAACACTATTAAATTTCAATATCTAAAAGATATCATAATTTTATAAATTTTAATATACAGTAATATTCTAATTTCCAGTTACTCAATTTTCACGTTACTAAATAACTACCAGTAAATTATTTTATTCTTTATTCTGACAAATTCTGATCAATTTTAGATAAATTTCTTAGCGGCTTTTCTCAATTTTTATTATTTCGTTGTCGTTTCTTTAATAAAAGGTCCATTTTATTACAACATGGATCGA